AACTGTGCGTGGGACACAGCACGAATCGGCCGAAGGCGACTGTGCTTTTGGAGCCTGGCGTCGCTCACCGGCATCCCGGCGGTCGCCCGCGGCGCCGCCCTCCTTTTCTCCGGCCGAGGCTGTGCCGGGCTCTGGCCCATCGCCCCAGAGGGTGTTGTCGGTTTCTCGCCGCGCAGAATCTGTGCCCTGCTGTGCGGGTCCCCTGCGACCTCCTGCGCACAGAGCCCAGGTCCCTGGGGCGCCGCTCCGAGACGCTGGGCGACGGCGCACCGTGGAGCAGGAAGCGGTGAGGCCGCATGTGGCCACCTCGGTCCGGAGGCCGAGCAGAGGCGGACTGCTGGGGCCCTGGGTCTCCTTCCCGATTGCTCAGCTACCCGGTGAGGAAGGAAATCCGCTTTACCCAAAGTCAACTGACTGCATGTTATCACCCGCTTTTTTTGTCAGATCTAAATTATCTGCTACTCAAGCATTCTTTTTTCTTTTTGGGGGTGCTATCAGGAATCGAACTCAGGGCCTTGTGCTTGCAAGGCAGGTGCAGTGCCCCTGAGCTACACCCCGAGCATCCTTACTTTTGACCGGACTCAGACTTGGAAGTAGAGGCTCTCAGAGAGGACAGCCTGTGCCTCCTGGCGATGTGTTCTTGGCATTTTTCTTTGGCTTCTTCTTTGTTCTCTTGGCTGGAAGTGTAGGGCCGCCTCTTCCTTGCTTTCCTTAGAATGCTGCTTCCTTACAGCAGCAGGGCGGCATTTATGGTGAAGGATGTGTGGAGCAACAGATGCTGAACCTAGGGTGCCTTGTTCCTGGGTTCCTATCTTCCCTGTTTAAGGGCTGTTACAACACACCCTGGTCTCAAACTCACGGCCATCCTCCTGCCTCAGCCTCCCGAGTGCTGGGATTACAGGCGAGCGCCACCACGCCTGACTGTTTAAGGGCTTTCTTACAACACACCCTGGGCGGCAAGGCACAGCAGTACCAGTCAATCCAGGACATCCTTCTCCCCTTCTTTTGCAAGACCCAAGTTGAGGCGCCCACAATGCAACCCTGACCAGATTCTCGCTTTTTCCTGTTCTCCTTGGTCTGTAACAGGAGAGCGCCTCACTCAGCAGCGAGCAGTCAAGGTGCCCTGTTTCACGGGGAAGCTCTTCTGTGTTCCCGCCACGGATACGCACCACGTCACCCATTGTTGTCTGTGGCCCTTAGCCTCATAGAAAGTACAAGTTTGCATCCATCATCCACCCAGTTTCTGGCAGCCAGTGGCCGGGAAGGAGATGTTCAGCTGCACCTTGAAGCTACTGATCGCCCTCCAGGCTCCATGAAAGACGTAGCATCGCCTCTTTAAGTCCACATCAGTGCTGAATCTGTGGTTGGCCGAGTGACTGGCACTGCTGACGTGTACCTTTAACAGCCTTAGAGGCCAAGTAGTCACTAGGCCACCTCCCACGGGGCTGTCAGGGACACACCTTGACCTGGCTGTGACAATCTTGCTTGCAGCTGCCTTTTGTTGTTGGTGACCCAGCCCACATCCCAAGCCCCAACAGTAAAAGTTATTAGTGGCTGAACCTGTGTGCCTGCTGTGGTCCCCCGGGCTGTCCCCCCCAACCCTGGCCCTTTACGTTTTTTTATTTTGACATAGATCTCTGTTCAGGCTGGGCTCTGACTTGCGCTTTCTCTGCCCCAGGCTCCCAGAGTGTCCTATCCCTGGTCTCCAGATGCTGGACGCGGTGACAGTTCTTGGAGAGCGTACCACATCCCTGCTAGGGAGGCCTGCCTTAGTCCTGTTAGTTCTGGCTGCCACCACCGCGGCCCCAAGCAAGCCTGGATCCACTGTCCCCCACCACTCAGTACCCTGCCCTGCCTTGGGCACGGCTCTCGCATTGTTGCTGAAACGCTGCCACCCGATGCCCAACAGCAGAGGGGACCACATGCCTCCCCTCCCAGTCAGCCCTGCACCGTGGTCCCTTGGTCTGCGCTCTCCAGGCTGCCACCAACACCCCTCCCTCCTGCATGTTTGCCACCCACACTCCCCTGGCGAAGGGCTGTGGGTCTGGACTCTGGGGCGTTCTCCGGGGTGTTCCCAGCTTAGGGTCGTTGTCGCCCTGTTATCAGTACTTACCTATCGCTCCCCTCCAGAGTTACTCAAACTTTTTGTTCTCAGGTATGTCCCTCAATCTGCTTAATCAGAATTTCTAAAAATCCAGTCTGGCAACTTTGTCTTTTAGCTAGAGTTCACTGATACATTTCTACCATTTTATTGTTTGGTTTTTGTTTTGTTTTGTTTCGGTTTTTGAGACAGGGTCTCACTATGTAGTTGAGACTGACCTGGAACTATGTAGCCCAGGATGGTCTCAAACTCACAGCGATCCTCCTGCCTCAGCCTCCCGAGTGCTGGGATGACAGGCGTGCGCCATCACACCTGGCTTGTTTGTTTTTTTAATACTGGGATCGAACGCACGGCCTTTCCCTGAACTCCATCCCCAGACCTTTTCATTTCTTATTTTGAGACAGGGTTTTGCAATGTCACTGCACTGTCCAGTCAGGGCTCGTCCTGCCTCAGCCTCCCGAGTGCTGGGATCACAGGCGTGCGCCACCCCTCCTGGCTCTGAATTTGTTTCTTCATGTAGAATTTCTTCCTCTTTCCACCCCACCTCTCCCTTGGGAGGCAGATGCTGTGTAGCTATCATTGTACTTGGTTCTTCTAGCTATTTTAGCATACTTGAGAGCAAAAGTGGCTGATTCATTTCTCCTCGTGAACCACTTAAGACTTCAGCTGTCTCTCTGCACCCCTCCCTGCTACATGCTGCTGTTGACAGTATTTAATTTCCATCCTGCCTTTCTCCCACAAATGGGGGCTGATGTTCAAGCTTGCTTAGCTTCCCCCGTTAAGATCTGCGCAGATGACTCCTGACAGTGGAGGCCTGGACTTGAGAAGAGCTGGCTTCCTTCAGGCCCTCCGTCCCAGGTCAGCCAATGAGTTGGTGGCCCGGCAGTCACTCCACGCTCCGGTCACAAGCACCCAGTGCAGGCTCCAAACTTCTCACCACAGGAGCCCTGGGTGCTGTTATTAGACCACAGCAGAAAGCCACCCTGCCCTTCCCATCCTCCTAGCTCCTCCCCCTTTGCAAAGTTCTTTTGTGGTAAACTGTCAACTTTGGTATGCAAATATTTTATTTTGTCTTCACTCTGAAAATAGCTTCGCTGGGTATGGACTTTGAGGCTGATAATTATATTGCCCGGGCCCTGGGGGCTGTTTCTTTGTAGATGATTCGTTTTCCAACTGAATTATTTTAAAATCTCAGGTAAGATGCGCCCCACCCGCTTTTGTGGTCCTGGGGACTGAACCCAAGACCTTCACACTGAGCCATACCCCCAGCCCTTTTTTTTAAACTTTGAGACAGGGCATTCCTAAGTCACTCAATTTCCCTGGACTGGACTGGAATCTGTAACCCTCCTTGTCTTGGTCACCCAGAGTGCTGGGATTACAGGCAGGCACCACCACACCCAGCAGGATTTTTCTTTTCCTTTTTTTTTTTTTTTTTTTAAACAGGGTCTTGCTCTGAGGTTCAAGCTGGACTTGAACTCACTATGTAGCCCAGGCTGGCCTCAAACTCCTGGCAATTCTCCTGCCTCAGCCTCCTAGGTGTTAGGGTTACAGATGTACACCATCATACCCAGCTCCAGCTCCATTTTTTTTCAGTCACCTACAGAAGACACCGTCCCTGTGTGCTGTGCCCATTCCTGTGTCAGACCCCTGCGGATCCCACAGCTCTGGCAGTTGAGCTTCCTTACCTGCGATGCTTCACACCAAATCCTTGAGGCTGGGTGAAGATGGCCTCTCTTAGAGCCACGAGTACCCTCCAGGGGACACTGAGCCAGGTCTCCAGGCATCTCTGGTGGCCACAGCCCGGGTTCACATGTTCCGCCATCAGGGGTGGCAGCCAGGGATGCTGCCTGCATCCCCTAGAGATGGGACAGTCCAGGGAGGGACACTCCTAGGCATGGTGCCCCAGAGCCATGCCTCAGAGGGGACCTGCAAGGGCCTCTGTCCACCTGAGCCCAGCAGCTGGGATGCTGATCCTCCTTCAAGGGCTCTAGGGTCAGTCTGGCAGCCTGTGCCCAGGACACATACTCAGGGGAGACTTGTGTATGTGCACGGCACTAGGGACTGTGTCCAGAGCCTTCGGTGACCTATATTGTCAGCCCTTAGCTTTTAAATTTTGAGACAGGGTTTCACTAAATTGCCGTAAGCCTCCTGCCTCAGCCTCCCATAGTGCTGGGATTACAGGCATGCGCCACCACACTATGATACATTTTCTTCACTCTTCATGAAACAAAACATTCGCAAGGCACTGCTGTCCCCCAGCTTGCCTCATCTACCTGTCAGGTGAAGGCCCAGTGTCACCTGGCAGTCTCAGGAACGTCACCCTGGGATGGTCCCTGTGTTGTCTCTCCCTTCTAGGTCTGTGATATCTCCAGAGGGACAAGGGATAGAGTCCCTGGAGGGTGGCACAGACCTCAGGAGGAAGCCACCACTTTGGGCTGTACTCAGGAGTGCATATGGCCAGCCACAGAGCTGGCCGGTCGGCGCCACTGGCATAGCCCAGAGTGGGGCCGGCCCACACCCGCCCCAGGCAGTGGTACACAGAGGACAGTCAGCTCTCTGCACTGGAAACACCACGGCTGTTGCAGACCCTAACAGACCTAGCGGGCAGAGGGGACACTGTCCCAGGATGGGAGGGCCAGGGGCGAGCCCGAGGTGGACCTGGTGGATGGGGGAGGCCCTGGCACTCCCACAAGGCTGGAGGTGGGTGGGGCACCCTACAGCCAAGGAAAGCAGGGAGCTGGGCTCTGCTCAGAATTCCTGGGATTCTAGGAATTCAAAAAATCAGAAAGCTTAAATACAATTGGAAAATGTATCACACAAGCAAAAACTTTCATTTGGACCTGAGAGGACACCAAATTAAATACACACGGGCAGATGTGGCTTTGCTTAGAACACATCACTGTAGCTATAAGGAAATCCCAAGTTTAACTGAGAAGATCTGAGAACAGCAGGAAGTGAGAGCCCAGCCTCAGGGCCTGTGGTGACTCTGCAGCACCTTAGATCTTGGGGAACTGAGCCTGGACCCAGCAGGCCAGGCCAAATGGGGCCCCTCCTCCGCCCTGCCCCCTGCCAGGGCTCCTGCCCATGGCTCCCCGCCCTCTCCCACCCTGGGGAGGCAGCAGGTCCCAGGCCCTGTGGCCAGCTCCTTCCCCGCCTTGGCCCCATCCTGGGACTCCCCCAATAGGCCAAGCAGAGCCCCCTCCTAGAGGGCACCTCATGCCCCAGTCTGTCCCATCTAAGCCACAGAGCTGGTGTCTTAAGGGCCTGGTTGAGGAAGACTTCTGTCGCTGGATCCCTGGGCGTTGGGTCCCCAGGTCCCGGTGTACCCAAGGTGCCTCTGCCCCTGCATATGGCAGTGCAGGTCTGGGGCCACTGCTCCCTTGTTGCCCTCTTCTGGCCATCATGGGAAGTGCAGCCTGTAGCGGCCACTTCTAGACACCAGGAACCCCAGGTCAAAGAGCAGGAGGGGCCAGGACAGCTGTAAATGTGCCCTCCCTGCCCACGGATGCCTGAGATCTGGAGACAGAGGCAGGGCCCCCACTGTCCACTGACAATGGCAGGAACAGCTTCGGCTGTCACCCCACCCAGGTCGCAGCTGGAGGCCAGCACAGGTTGGCATCTAGGTCAGGAAGCCCAGCCTGCGAGGGGGAGGCAGGGCCTGAAGGGCCCCAACACACACATCTCCATCTGTCCGCTAGATGAAGGTGGAGTCCAGGGGCCCGGCCTCCTGCTGGCTGAGTGCGCGGGCCTCGAACAGCTGCTTGATGAGTGCAGACTTCTCCTGCTCCAGCTGGGTGATCCTGTCACTCTTGTCAGTCACCTCCTGGGTAGGCAGGTGGGTGACCCGGTCAGAGCCTGCCGGGGCCTGGCCCACGGCCCCCTGCCCGCGTCTCACCTGGGTTAGAAGTCTGTTCTGCTCCTTCAGCATGAGGATGGTCTGCTGCTGCCAGCTGGGGGCTGAGGGTGAGGTGGGGGCTGGGCTGGGAGCCTGCGGGGGGCGGGGGTGTCAACTGGGCCTCTTTGGGACGCAGTCTTGGGGACCAGAGCGCCAGGAGGTTAAGAGGGCACTCACCGTGCCAGCACAGGCTGCGGCCAGCAACTCCCCCAGGCACCGTGCCACCTCCTGCACCTTGGGCAGCAGGCGGCCCAGTGGGCGGGGGCTCCCAGCAGTCCCGAAGTCCTGGAGAAAGGCCAGGGATGCAGGGCCATGAGTGGTCCCCATGCTGGCACCCCCACGGCTGCTCAGAGCCCAGGGGAGCCCCAGGCACCGCGGTCCCAGCACTTACAGTGCCTGCTCTGCTTTGGCCCAGGCGGCGCTGGCGCTCCTGCACCCGCTGCAGCTGCTGCTGGTACCAGTCGCGGCCGCGTGCCATCATCTCCAGGCCCTGCAGCAGTACCTCCTGCTCCTGCTCCAGCTCCTTCACCTGCTTCAGCTGCAGCCGAGGGTGAAGGGTACACACAGCAGTGAGCTCCCTGGGCACCACTGGCAGCCCTCTACCAAGTTCTCCAGGAAAAGCGGCTGAACCCTGACTGGCAATCCCTGTTGTGGGGCACACCTGGCCAAGCTCAGGACCTCTCGGCTCCTCTCTGCCTGGCCTTGGCCAGCTCTCCAGGAGACCAAGGTCCCTAGAGCTGACTGATGATCCCACAGAGTCCCAGCTACCCTTCCCTGGCCTCCAGCCTCCTGACAACTCACAAAGCCCTCAGTGCCCCACCCCTCTCTCACCAGGCCACAGTCCACGCCATTGGTGATCGTGTGCCTCCGACGCTCCGCTCGGGCACGCGGGGCCCGCCGGGCATCGCCCACACCCACCTCGGGGGCCCTGCAGGCTACCGCACCTGCAGTGGACAGGGAGGGACCTGGGTTTCCCCTGGACCTGTTTCCACACAACATCCCAGCCCATCCTAGACCCCCCAAGCAAGCTGCTGCTGCCAACCCCAGGCAACAGGTCTGCATCACCGGAAGTCTGCACCAGCCCCACCATAGGGCAGGTGGCCCATGTCGATCCCACTCCCTTGGAGAGGCCTGAGCTCCCTGGGGTTGCATCCATCCAGCCCTTCTCCACCTCCCATGCCCACATCTTGGGGCTCAGAGGCTGCTGGGTAAAGGCAGGAAGACGAGGAGGCAGGTGGCCACACGGACACGGGAGCTGGTGCAGGGTGGTGGGGTGGCCTGGGGATGACAGCAGCATGAAGGTGGTGCACACAGAGTCCTGGAGTTCCGCCCCGAAGTTGCCAGGGCCCATGTGAAAGCCTCCCTGTCTATAGAAGAGGTGTGCGACAGGGCACCCTCCCTCAGCCTCCCAGCTCCACCCCTGCACCAGGCTCACCCTGAGGCCACACCCCAGTGCCTGGCCAGGAGTGGGGAGTGACACAAGAGCTGGGCCCAAAGGAGCAAGACAGCTCTGGCTCCAAACAGGCCCAGCACATTCGTGTCCCAGCTTGCGCTGCACGGCCAGCACAGCAGCAGCGGGAGGTGCACAGCCATGGCACTGCTTGGGAAGTGGCCAAGGGAATGCACTAGAAGGGGGCCTGGTCCCCAGGAGGAAGAAGCCTGAGCCTCAGGAGGCCACATCCATCCTGGGGAACCTCACTGGGAAGCTGGGGCAGTCTTGGGGCTCCTGATTTGGAACCCAAATGCCAGCGTCACTCAAGCAGGCCTTATCCTTGTCTGGGTTGGGTTTGCCTGGGAAAGGTGCAGCCAGAGTCTGGCCTGACCTGCAGAGTCATGCCTGAGTGCTGCCCAGGAGTGGTGTCATGCACACAGCATGGGGCTGACTTCAAACTGCCATGTGGATGACAAGGACCTTGCCTTTGAGACCAGGTAAACCCGGGAGCCTCCCCCACCCTAGGGACAGGGAGGCTGGTGTGGGAGGTGTAGCAGGAACCCCAGTGGGGAGCAGGGCTGCCAGATCAGTTCCCCAGGAGGGCCAGGGATCCTACAACTGCAAGCGCCAGTGAAAGGACTGGAGAGAGGCCTAGCCAGGCTGGCAGAGCAGTGGGTGGCAGCAAAGGCACTGACAGCTGCCGAGTGGACAGGCGGCAGGCACCTGGCTGGGCTGAGGGTCTGGGGAGGCCTCAGGCTCCTGTGAGAGCCCAGTGCCCACCCCCAGCCATAATGCAGGTTCTGTTCCCCAGGAAGGGGGCCATTCAGCAGTCTCTTGTCCCTGCCAACTGGATGGAAGCTGGGAGGCGAGCCTGTAGGAAGTCCCCAGAGAACATGGTCGGTGTCTCTTGGTGGCATCTGCTGCAGCCCAGCCCTGCAGGTGGTGCAGGACACACACACACACACACACACACACACACACACACACACACACCTTGTTCTTTCTGGCCCAAGGACCAGGTGCCTCTGGGCCACGACCCACAGCTCCCACCTGCACAGCCTTCTGGGCTGAGCTCAGGCCAAGCAGGCCCCCAGGGCCACAGTTTTGGGGACCCTGGTTTCTGGAGGGAAACATGGTTGCCTGGGCAGTCACAAAGATGAGGGTGAAGGCCAGGTGTCCCCAGTTGTGCGGCAGGCACGGGAGGCGGGGTGCCCTCCCTCACACTGGGTAGTGTCCCGGAGCCCTGCCTGGCCTAGGCACAGGATGAGTTCCTGGTGAGCACCGGAGTCACGCTCCTGCCCATTGGGTGCCAGTGGCCTGCTATGGCCCCCAGCATAGCTGGACTGGACGAAGCTCCTTTCTTTGCCCCTCCCTGCAGCCACTGTCTCCTGGCCGTGGGCGAGGCGGCTCAGACTCACCCGCTTCGGTGCTCG